ATTAAAAAGAAAGAAAAGAAAAAGAAAAAGCTCTTATCGTATCTCCCCGCTCGCCCTCCGGGGGCTTTCCTGCTTTCAGAAGGAGCCCCTGGCTGGATACGTCGGCAAGCACGGAGCCAGACCTCTGCAGCGCCCTCCAGCAGGCAGGTTCTGCAGGCGGCCATCTCCTCGCAGGCCAGAACACCCCACATCATTCAGGAGGGTTTCACCACCTTTGAAGAGAGAGGAGTCCGGTGTCTGTTAGCTCTGGAAATGTGGGCATGTTCCCATTCCAAAGGCGATAGTATCCGAGGGAAGGATCCTTCCCATCTTCAAAGCCTTCCTAAAATCCCACTGACTAGTGGGGAAGAGTGCCAGTCTACACTTTCCCTCAACCACCCACATGAAGTTTAGCAACAAGGAAGGAACATAGCGGAGGAAGAGCATATGAATGTAAGAAGACAAGGCTGGGCTTGGGAGAGTCCAGGTAGACAAAGGAATAGGGTTTACGTAATGGGGAACACCTGGTCTCCATTTCAGGCTTCCAGCCTTGATCGGAAGAAAGCAGGTTAACCTTAAAAGGGATTTCTTTCCAGTGGAGACTGCAAGATACTATTTTTATCAGCCTCGAAGGTGTCCACCTTATCCTTGCTGACCCAAGTTATCCCAGTGATTTATCAACGGACATGGGTGGAACGACATCCTTATCTCGACTCTTGATTAACAATATCCTGCACCTGTACAACACCAACGCAAACGTCACCTCTTTTGATAAGAATGATAAACCCAAGTAGTAGGCAGAGTATTCTCTCCCCTTTCACAAATGAGAAGGCACATGGAGAGGCTTGCACAGAATCACCGTGAACTAGGCCCCAATCCCCACCAGCCTCGGATCCCAAGCTTTCTACCAACCACCGTGGACTCAGAAGTATCAAGTGGGTCCAGATGGAGCCATCTGAGGAAGGAATATGAACTGACTGGCATTCCAAGGGCCCCCCCCCGCCCCCAAAACTAGTGTCTTGTTTTCTGCCTCCGTTCCCTTTCCCTCTTCCTGACTCTGCCTGCATGGATTTGACCCCTTCGGAAGGAGATTAGAACAGCAAGGCAGAGCTCTGTATCTTTAGAAGACCCTCCCTCAATAAATGTTTGATGTTGGTGGCCTTTTGAGGCAATACTTACCCACTCATGAAGCATATGGCAATGGGGTAACAAAAGTAATATCCAGACACACTCCGCATGGCTGCTTCCTTGGCTCTTTCTCCGCTGTCCGATCTCAGCCTAAAGGTCACCTGGTCAGAGAGGTCCTTCCGGACCACTCTTTAAGTAGCTCCCTCCCCAGCCTCACATTGTATTGTTAATCATTTCTTTCCTTCACTCCACTCACAACAGAATTATTCCATTTATGTAATCATTTGGCTTTCTTCCCTACTGGAATTTAAGGCTCAGAAAGTGAGGCGCCTCATCCATTCTGATCACTTCTGTAGCATCTAGCACATAGCAAAAATTTAAAGAAAAGAGTAATTAACAGAAAGAATGAGCTCTGCTATCAGATGTCTCTTGTTTATACCCTGACACTAGATTGGAGTTAAATGTTGATCATCGTTGCAGCTGATGGGAGGCTAAGCATATGGGAGCTTGCTAGCCTCTTGACGTGTGTGTATATGCACACGTGCGGGAAAATTTCAATTAAAAGCTAAAAACAAAGTTGTTTATCCCTGGGACTTAACAGGCCTGAATAGCAGACCTCAAAGGGGGCTCCTAGGGAGGTCTCTCCCCTTCTCCCAGGAATAGCCAAGCCTGCCATTGGCCACCCCAGTCCTCTAGATGAAAGGATGTACAGCTGAGGGAGAAACGCAGTATGTCATGGAATCCTCAGAGCTTCTGGTGAGCACTGAAAGGAATGATACATTTGTAGAGCAATTACGTTAACAAGATATTTTCACTTACATTTTGTTGGGATAACAACAGTATGAAGTATTATTATCCCCATGCTTATTTTATAATTTATCTCATTCAAAGGCTAACTCAAAGGCTTTCAACTAGACAGAAATAAGATTCAATTGTAACACTTGCTAACTGAGTCTCCATTTCCTCATCAGGAAAATAAGAACGCCACCCACCTACTTCATGCAATGAATAGTAGGGAAACGTAACAGGAAGGCACTGGACAGTATGACAGACATGTGGTCCCTGCTCACCCACTCCTGGACAGAAAGGGCTGTGTCTTATCTTTTCTAATCCCATGCACTACCTAGCACAGAGCCTGGGTGTGTAATTATTTGCTAAATTTTACAGACAAAAGGTCAGCAGTAAGTGGCAGAACAAGTGCTTGAATCAACACTTCCAAAGTTTTTTCCGCAACATCAGGCTGCTGCTTCTCTGGTGGTTTGAAAATACGTTTTTTTAATCCCATTGACAGAACTTGGACCTACCTATAAATTCATTGTAAGCAAATAAAATAATTTTAGTCCTTCACAAACTTCCACTTTTTTCCTACTCCCTCCTGTAAGATCCTTGTTCTAGAAAGTGTTTTCTCCCATAGGAGAAACATTTTTTACATTTGTTAAAAACTTTTAAATTAACTGTGGTTATTAAGCTGTTTCACACTCAAACTTTTATTATAGACTCCCAGAGCGCACAGCTGCAACCCAACAAGATGGGAGAGCAGCAGTCTCCCGCTGTCTGTACACAAGCTCCCCAGCCTCCCAACACCAGGGAGCACGCCTCTGTGACCTCCCCAGATATTTTCCAGCCAACACAGAAAAAATGTTTTGAAGCCCAAGATGAAAGGATGTGATCGCAAGAGGCTGAAGGTATAGGCTGCTAAGAGAAGAAAACAAGAAGGAAGGTTTCTGGGTGATCGGGGCCAGGAAATGTGTGGGCAGGCGGTGCTCAGGGCTGGGCTTCCCACCACTGCAAAGAAGGGCAGGGAATAGACTTTGCACAGTGTTTGTGGTAAACGGCTTCCTGCCCCACAAAAGAGCACAGAAAATAGAAATAAACCACCCCATAGAGGTGGTGAGCTAGGGGAAGCTGGAAATCCTAGGTCTAGCTCACTCTCCATGCAGTAGTACTCAAAATCAACTCCTTCAACACACTTCAGCTGAAAAAACACCTAAGAATCAGAAAACTCAATGGGACTCATGGGGTGTGGGGAGCAGTGGGAGGGGGTTGTCTTTAAGTTTGAAATAGGGTCTCACTCTATTGCCCAGGCTGGAGTGCAGCAGCGATTCACAGGTCCACAGCTAATTCTTCAGTTCACATGAAGTTGAGAACCATAAAGCAAGTCAACAGAAGCATAAAAACAGGAGTTACCTATAATGAGCCTTTAACTAAATCTAAACCCAAGACTCCAAAAGCAGTTTGTAGGTTTCAGTCCTGAAGCAAATATTGAAAAGACACACCAAAGAAAAATGTTTCCTACTGATGGTAATTGGCTTGGGTAAATCACAACCTCTGAGACAATAGCTAATCTGATAAATGGGAATTTAATACCTGTCTCATGTATCTCAAGTTCATTGTGAAAAACTAAACAAAATCGGTATATTAGAGTCTGAAATTACAATGTCTTCCTTCATAAAATTATTATTATCCCAGTTTTCAACCCATCTCTCGAACCTCAGATGCTTTTCTTATTCAAAATTCCAATTTCTCTAAAAATTATCCGGAAGCCTCCTGATAAAGGACTGTAACGTCTTTATCTAAAGTTTTAAAACAGATTAAACTGCTCAATCATAATCTCAGTGAACTAGTATCACTTAGGAATGGCAAACCATGACCCATATACCCACAACCAATCTTCATAAAGTGACAGTGGAACACAGCCATACTCATTTAAGGAAAAGCTTGCTGACTCTTGAGCTCAGTTGGCCAGAAAGCTAATAAGGAACATACAGGCCCAAGCTTTTCCCCAAGTACCCAGGTAATCTTGAGACACACCAAAATTTGAGTACCACTGCTGTAGATCAGGGTTTCTCAAACCTTAATGTGCACATAAATCACCTGAGGACCTTGTTATAGTGAAGATTTTACTTCTGTAGGTTTGGGGTGAGGCCTGTGCTCCCAGGCGATGCCAATACTGGTAGTCAGTGACTACATTTTCAGCAGCAAGATTCCAGAGCAGTGTTTCTCCAATTTGCCGTGCACTGGAATCACCTGCATAGCTTTACAAACTGCAGATGCCACCCTAACGAGACTTTTACTTAATTGGCGTGGGGTGTGGCCTGGACATTGGATTTTCTTTTTACCTTCCCCAAGTGATGCTAATGTGCAGGCAATTCGGAGAAGCTCACAACTCATCATCATTCTCAGTAGTCAGCTAAATTTAAGTAGTGGAATTCTCAACATAGCTTACACTCCATATATAGCAATCCAACAGCACCCAAGATGGAAACAGGGCTGCCAGCATGGCACACATCGATATGCCCAGACTTCAGCCAGCAGACCTACATTCCACCCAAAATTCATCATGAACTCTGATCTTAAGCAAGTACTAATCTGAGTTTCAATTTCCTCACCTAACTAATGAGGACAGGAATGCCTAAGATCATTGCAAGAATAAAATGAGAGAATATTTGTGAAGGTGCTTCAGAGACTACATCTTATAAGTCAACACATACATAACCCCCATTTTTCACACTGTTTACATTGCCTAAGAGAAACATATTTCACTTTTACCACTAAAACATGTTGAAACATGTAAATGTGGAAGCACATACTTAGTTCAATTTCTAGCGAAGTGCTTCATGATGCAGTCCCAGGAATGCACTGTGTCATAAGAGTGGAAGCACCTGTAACAATCGAAGGATTAGCAAAGGAATACCTGCTCCAGGAAGAAGACAAAGGACTGCCATTTCCCAGGATTGTCAGCATTGCCTTTTGCCATTAACTTCAAATACACTTAACGAAAACAACAAGGTAGGTCCACAGCTGTAAGATACCAACTCATAAAGAGCTCAGCAGGAGGACTGAAGGGAAAAAAACGGATTGATACCAATAAAGAATAAAGAGCCAGACGCATAAGGAGATGCATGGAGTTCTTTAATTTCAAAGGCAAAAGGTTACATTTAACGAAAGGCAGAGGTTAGATTAATACATGTGTGTTACAAAGTTGTTCTGCTACAGAGTGAACTCTGGATTTTTCTCCTGCATAAAAATCGGAGCTAGCAGTAAGTGCAAATCTGAAGAAAATCCATGTGCCCAACAAGCTACCATCTCTAGAACTCTTATCCAGGAAATTCAAAGAGTGAACCTAAAAGAAAAAAAACAAAGATTAAAAGTCTTATGATACTCCAGACAGGGCCCCAAATCCTTCAATCTAAAATCTAACCCACAGGACAGTTATGGAGTTACTAAACTCAGGACAATATTTAAACCAGGCAAGGAAAACTGGAAAGAAGCAAGTATTTTTCACAGAACATTTTATGGGAGTAGTATCCAGACAAATTAATGTTCAAAACTGAATTTCAAGCACACCAAGGCAAAACTGACTAGGAACTGGGAGTCGTGTGTTCTAACCCCAGCTCTACCATTAATTAGCTCCAGGACTTCACATAAGTCACTCTGACTTCCCTGGCCCACAAATTCTTTGAGGTGAGAGGGTTGTAGTTTAGCCTAAAGAGGTTTTCTGATTCAAAAATGCTATAAAGCACAGATTTCCATTGGAGGGGAGGTAGGGTAGGGAATAAGGATTCAAGAAAGAAAATAAAGAAAAATTTCCAATCTCAGCTATAACAAAGGACCAAAATACAAGAAATAATTTAGCTTTCATTTAAAGATAACTTTATTTTTGGCAAGCAAAAGGTGAAGAAAGAATAACCCCAACAGAAGTGGCTACATTGCTGCCAGAACCAAATAGAACTGAGATTTCTAAGTTGTGAGGTGGAACCCTCACCAAAAGACACAGGCTTCCTTTAGTCCCTCAAAGCACAAGCTTCCCACCTATTGGACTCCAGCAGGGGTCTGGTCAGAAATTGATCTCTGGCCCTAGGGGCTCCAATGTCTCCAGCCATAAGCAACTGATTTTCCCAGCGTGCCATAAAAATACTGTAATCGGCTGAGCACAGTGGCTCACGCCTGTAATCCCAGGGAGGGTGAGGCAGGCAGATCACAAGATCAAAGATCGAGACATTCCTGGCAAACATGGTGAAAGCCTGCCTCTACTAAAAATACAAAAAGTAGCTGAGCATGGTGGTGCATGCCTGTAGTCTCAGCTACTCGGGAGGCTGAGGCAGGACAATCGCTTGAACCCGGGAGGCGGGGGTTGCAGTGAGCCAAGACTGCGCCACTGCACTCTAGCCTGGCAACAGAGCAAGACTCTGTCTCAAAAAAAAAATAAAAATAAAAATAAAAAAACTATAATCTCCTATGTGTGCCATGACTCAAAAAAAGCTGGGAAATACTACCTTTCAGAAGAACTGGGCTGCCTCAGTAGGTAAAAGGGCACTACTTTATTTGGTATATTGAGTCAAGTAAGTAACCTAGAGATTCTGGTATCAGAGCTTAAAGGGGCAGAATGCTTTTATTTCACTAACAATGGTATTTAGAGAAATGTTACATAACTGCAGAACATTCCTGAATCAGTGGAATTACAAGATGTAAAAGAAAAGGCAGTAACAGGGAGCAAAAGGTGTTCATAGTGCCAAACAAAACCAAACAGATATATTCAAATTCATCTATTCACCCCATCAAACTTTTTTTTTTTTTTTTTTTTTTTTTTTTTTTTTGAGACGGAGTTTCGCTCTTGTTACCCGGGCTGGAGTGCAATGGCGCGATCTCGGCTCACCGCAACCTCCGCCTCCCGGGCTCAGGCAATTCTCCTGCCTCAGCCTCCTGAGTAGCTGGGATTACAGGCACGTGCCATCATGCCCAGCTAATTTTTTTTTGTATTTTTAGTAGAGACGGGGTTTCACCATGTTGACCAGGATGGTCTCGATCTCTCGACCTCGTGATCCACCCGCCTCGGCCTCCCAAAGTGCTGGGATTACAGGCTTGAGCCACCGCGCCCGGCCCCCCTCAAACTTCTTAAAGCAAACTCTCTGGCAATAGACTATGAACCAATATAACATTACACTTTTAGTTTTTTGTTTTTTGGTTTTTTTTTTTCAAGATGGCATTTAGCTCTTGTTGCCCAGGCTAGAATACAATGGTGTGATCTCAGCTCACTGCAACCTCTGCCTCCCAGGTTCAGGCACTTCCCCGGCTTCAGCCTCCCAAGTGGCTGGGATTACAGGAGTGTGCCACTACGCCCAGCTAATTTTTGGATTTTTAGTAGAGACGGGGTTTCACCAGTTGGTCATACTGGTCTCGATCTCCTGACCTCAGGTGATCCACCCTCCCTGGCCTCCCAAAGTGCTGGGATTACAGGCGTGAGCCACCGCGCCCAGCTACATTACAGGTTCTAATGGCCAAGGTGAGAGAGGACTAGAGCATAAAGCCATTTTCAGTGAACAAAGCCTTGACACTTTCAGAAATATAAAAGAAATCCTAATTTAGTACAAAATCAAAGTCTCAAGATTTTATGATACTAAAACATTTAAATCTAAGATACTGAGGCTAATCCACATGAAAGGCAAAAATTGACTCATGAAAGTCTCTTTGATAAAGGTTTTCAGAAAATCCTATTTACAAAGATCTGCTCCCCTCTTTTAAAGCAGATGTATTTACCAGACATTATTCTAAAAGCAGAGGTTCTAGGATTCTTTGAAATGTTAGCTCACACAATTGACTATTCAACAGCTAGGAAGAATGGTTTCAACTGTTAACCAGGGCATAAAGGTTTCAGGAAACTGACTAATAAAATCTCCTCCCCTGATATCAAGACATGCAAAATGGAAGACACCTACTGAGAAAAGTTAGCGTGACTTCAGTCTATTTCACCTGAGCAGAAAAGACAGTGCCATTTAATCAGTTTGTTCTAATCATCTTAAAAGAAAGTAAGGCATAACACAAAGAACTGTTAAAAATAATGACTCTGTATAGATAGAAAAGATAATGCCAGCCAGGGTCATTTCTATTTGGAATCTGTATTCTTCTCCAGCAATATCTCTATTCAGACACCAGCACTGGGCAGATATGTTGAAATACTGATTTTCCTTCAAATTCATCTCATCCTGGATCCTAGTCACCCAATTAAAACTGAAATTAGAAATAATAATGTATATCAAAAACCATTCTGCAGAAATTCTAGGTTCACAGCCCAATTTGAATCACTGTAGCTTTAGAGGGCACAGACTGTACATTTCTAAAAAATGAAAGGAGTTTTAGAAATCACCTTGTCTAACCTTCTCATTACAGATATGAGAAAACCGTAACCTGACAGTGTTGACAAATTTGTCGAGAACTGTGCTGTCAAACACCACAGCCACTAGCCATAGGTGATTATTTAAATTTAATCAAAATTAAATTAAAAATTCAATTGGGCCATGTGCGGTGGCTCACCCCTGTAATTCCAGCACTTTGGGAGGCCGAGGCGGGTGAATCCCAACGTCAGGAGTTCGAGACCAGCCTGGCCAAAATGTTGAAACCCTGTCTCCACTAAAAATATAAAATTTAGCTGGGTGCAGTGGCACCTGTCTGTAATCCCAGCTACTCAGGAGGCTGAGGCAGGAGAATCGTTTGAACCTGGGAGGCGGAGGTTGCAGTGAGCCAAGATGGCACCATCACACTCCAGCCTGGGTGACAGAGTGAGACTCGTTCGCCAAAAAAAAAAAAAAAAATTAAATTGTTCAGTTCGTTAGCCACATTTCAAATGTTCAGTAACCACATGTGGCTAGTGGTTACCATAATGGGTAATGCAGGCCCTGAATGTTTCCACACTGCAGAAAGCTCTATTGGACAGTGCTGGTCCACGTTCAACCTCACTAGATAAAGTCAGGTCTCCTGACCTGCATTCTCCTCCATTTCTCCTGGAGCATATTAAGTATGGCCAACTATGCAGAAACATTTGGGATAGGCTGTCTTCATCCTTTCCTATCAACAATTGCTCCCAAATTTTTCCCATTTTAAAAAGAAAAGCATCCAGTCTGATGGCTCTGATAAAAATGTAAAATCAAAAATTTTTTTAAGTTTACTATTTTTAGTGAAAACTCTCTAACATGAGATGTATATAAAGTCATCATCTGAAAGTCCTAATCATAACAAGAAAGAATATAAAGGTTTAGAGTCCAAATGTCTGTTATCCAGTCCTCCCTCAGTCACTTATTAGTTCCAGGGCCTGGAGACACCAAGTTTCACCAAGGTGTAATTACCTCAGGTGTAAAATGGGAATACTACTATTTGTCTACCTCCGTATCACAGGGTAGGCAGGAAGAATCACATAAGCTGATGTATGTAAATGTATATGTGGAATATATGTAAATCTTGCAAGCCTGTTAATGTGGGAACTATAAGACATTTTACAAATGTTTACTTTTGTAAAAGGTTTCATACAAATATGTGCATCTTGTTATAAATAATCACATTTAGCTTCCTACCTCCTATATGGATAATGGGAATCTGAAAATATGAATAAAAAGCAACAATTAAGGGAAAAAAGGAAAGCAAAGCCAAACTGAGGATCCACAAAAACAGTATAATCCTCCTCAAACACAAAAGAATCATCAAGAATTATGCTGAGAGGCATTAACACTGGCAAGGGACTTTGATAAACATCCAAGCCAATTTTAAAACTGAGGCTCAGAGATAAGTTTATTTGTCCATTCAACTAGTTAACAGAGAAAAGGCCACAATACAAGACTTCTGATTGTTTTGGGTTTTTTTTTTTGTTTTTGTTTTTGTTTTTTTTTTTGAGACAGGGTCTCACTCTGTCACTCAAGCATGATCACAGTTCACTGCAGCCTCGACCTCCCAGGCTCAAGCGATCCTCCCACCTAAGCCTTCAAAGTAGCTGGGACCACAGTCATATGCCACCACGCCCAGCTAATTCTCTTGATATTTGGTAGACACAAGGTCTTGCTATGTCACCCATGCTGGTCTCAAACTCTTGGGCTCAAGCGATCCACCCACCTTGGCTTCCCAAAGTGCTGGGATTACAGATCTGAGCCACTGTACCCAGCCCCTCCTCTGACTTCCTGTCTCATGCTCTTCCCCACCCACAGCCTCTCCTATGAGGCTTTTTTTCTTTCATAGCACTTTCCATGTTTTAGCATCCAAGTAACTAATAACATAATTATTTTTCTTGCAGTTAAAAACAGTTTAATTGGCCAGGCACAGTGGCTCACACCTGTAATCTCAGCACTTTGGGAGGCCGAG